CATAACCCCAACACACTCCTAACTCCAACACACTCATAACCCCAACACACTCATAACTCCAACACACTCCTAACTCCAACACACTCATACCTTCAACACACTCATAACCCCAACACACTCATAACTTCAACACACTCACAACCCCAGCACACTCATAACTTCAACACACTCACAACCCCAGCACACTCATAACCCCAACACAGTCCTAACTCCAACACACTCATAACCCCAACACACTCATAACTTCAACACACTCATAACCCCAACACACTCATAACCCCAACACACTCCTAACTCCAACACACTCCTAAGCCCAACACACTCATAACCCCAACACACTCATAACCCCAACACACTCATAACCCCAACACAGTCCTAACTCCAACACACTCAACTCCAACACACTCATAACTCCAACACACTCATAACTTCAACACACTCATAACCCCAACACACTCATAACTTCAACACACTCACAACCCCAGCACACTCATAACTTCAACACACTCACAACCCCAGCACACTCATAACCCCAACACAGTCCTAACTCCAACACACTCCTAACTCCAACACACTCATAACCCCAACACACTCATAACCCCAACACACTCATAACCCCAGCACACTCATAACTCCAACACACTCATAACTTCAACACACTCCTAACCCCAACACACTCATAACTTCAACACACTCATAACTTCAACACACTCATAACTTCAACACACTCACAATCCCAACACACTCATAACTTCAACACACTCATAACCCCAACACACTCATAACTTCAACACACTCATAACTTCAACACACTCCTAACCCCAACACACTCATAACCCCAACACACTCCTAACTTCAACACACTCATGACCCCAACACACTCATAACCCCAACACACTCATAACTTCAACACACTCATAACCCCAACACACTCATAACCCCAACACACTCATAACTTCAACACACTCATAACCCCAACACACTCATAACCCCAACACACTCATAACCCCAACACACTCTTAACTTCAACACACTCATAACCCCAACACACTCATAACTCCAACACACTCCTAACTCCAACACACTCATAACCCCAGCACACTCATAACCCCAACACACTCATAACCCCAACACAGTCCTAACTCCAACACACTCACAACCCCAGCACACTCATAACTCCAACACACTCATAACTTCAACACACTCCTAAGCCCAACACACTCATAACCCCAACACACTCATAACTTCAACACACTCACAACCCCAACACACTCCTAACTCCAACACATTCATAACTTCAACACACTCATAACCCCAACACACTCATAACCCCAACACACTCCTAACTCCAACACACTCACAACCCCAACACACTCCTAACTCCAACACACTCATAACTCCAACACACTCATAACCCCAACACACTCATAACTTCAACACACTCATAACCCCAACACACTCCTAACCCCAACACACTCCTAACTCCAACACACTCCTAAGCCCAACACACTCATAACCCCAACACACTCATAACCCCAACACAGTCCTAACTCCAACACACTCCTAACTCCAACACACTCATAACTTCAACACACTCATAACCCCAACACACTCATAACTTCAACACACTCACAACCCCAGCACACTCATAACTTCAACACACTCCTAACCCCAACACACTCATAACCCCAACACACTCATAACTTCAACACACTCATAACCCCAACACACTCATAACCCCAACACACTCATAACTTCAACACACTCATAACCCCAACACACTCATAACCCCAACACACTCATAACTTCAACACACTCATAACCCCAGCACACTCATAACCCCAGCACACTCATAACCCCAACACACTCATAACCCCAACACACTCATAACTTCAACACACTCACAACCCCAACACACTCCTCACTCCAACACACTCATAACTTCAACACACTCATAACCCCAACACACTCATAACTTCAACACACTCATAACCCCAACACACTCCTAACTCCAACACACTCACAACCCCAACACACTCCTAACTCCAACACACTCATAACTTCAACACACTCATAACCCCAACACACTCATAATCCCAACACACTCATAACCCCAACACACTCATAACTTCATTACACTCATAACCCCAACACACTCATAACTTCAACACACTCATAACTTCAACACACTCATAACCCCAACACACTCATAACTCCAACACACTCCTAACTCCAACACACTCCTAACCCTAGCACACTCATAACCCCAACACACTCATAACCCCAACACAGTCCCAACTCCAACACACTCACAACCCCAGCACACTCATAACTCCAACACACTCATAACTTCAACACACTCATAACCCCAACACACTCATAACCCCAACACACTCATAACTTCAACACACTCATAACTTCAACACACTCATAACCCCAACACACTCATAACCCCAACACACTCATAACTTCAATACACTCATAACCCCAACACACTCATAACCCCAACACACTCATAACTTCAACACACTCACAACCCCAGCACACTCATAACCCCAACACACTCATAACTTCAACACACTCACAACCCCAACACACTCATAACCCCAACACACTCATAACTTCAACACACTCACAACCCCAGCACACTCATAACTTCAACACACTCACAACCCCAGCACACTCATAACCCCAACACACTCATAACTTCAACACACTCATAACCCCAACACACTCATAATCCAACACCTCTACCCCAACACACTCATAACTTCATTACACTCATAACCCCAACACACTCATAACCCCAACACACTCATAACCCCAACACACTCCTAACTTCAACACACTCATAACTTCAACACACTCATAACCCCAACACACTCATAACTTCAACACACTCATAACCTCAACACACTCATAACCTCAACACACTCATAACTTCAACACACTCATAACCCCAACACACTCATAACTTCAACACACTCATAACTCCAACACACTCATAACCCCAACACACTCATAACCCCAACACACTCATAACCCCAACACACTCATAACTTCAACACTCATAACCCCAACACACTCATAACCCCAACACACTCATAACTTCAACACTCATAACCCCAACACACTCATAACTTCAACACTCATAACCCCAACGCACTCATAACCCCAACGCACTCATAACTTCAATGCACTCATAACCCCAACGCACTCATAACCCCAACACATTTATAACCCCAACACACTCATAACCCCAACACACTCATAACTTCAACACACTCATAACCCCAACACACTCATAACCCCAACACACTCATAACTTCAACACTCATAACCCCAACACACTCATAACCCCAACACACTCATAACTTCACACACTCATAACCCCAACACACTCATAACCTCAACACACTCATAACTTCAAAACACTCATAACCCCAACACACTCATAACTTCAACACACTCATAACCCCAACACACTCATAACTTCAACACACTCATAACTTCAACACACTCATAACCCCAACACACTCATAACTTCAACACACTCATAACCTCAACACACTCATAACTTCAACACACTCATAACCCTAACACACTCATAACTTCAACACACTCATAACCCCAGCACACTCATAACTTCAACACACTCATAACCTCAACACACTCATAACTTCAAAACACTCATAACCCCAACACACTCATAACTTCAACACACTCATAACTTCAACACACTCATAACCCCAGCACACTCATAACTTTAACACACTCATAACTTCAAATCACTCACAACCCCAACACACTCATAACTTCAACACACTCATAACCTCAACACACTCATAACTTCAAAACACTCATAACCCCAACACACTCATAACTTCAACACACTCATAACCCCAGCACACTCATAACCCCAACACACTCATAACTTCAACACACTCATAACCTCAACACACTCATAACTTCAAAACACTCATAACCCCAACACACTCATAACTTCAACACACTCATACCTTCAACACACTCATAACTTCAACACACTCATAACCCCAGCACACTCATAACTTAAACACACTCATAACTTCAACACACTCATAACTCCAACACACTCATAACTTCAAAACACTCATAACCCCAACACACTCATAACTTCAACACACTCATAACCCCAACACACTCATAACCCCAACACACTCATAACTTCAATACACTCATAACCCCAACACACTCATAACTTCAATACACTCATAACCCCAACACACTCATAACTTCAACACACTCATAACCTCAACACACTCATAACCTCAACACACTCATAACTTCAACACACTCATAACCTCAACACACTCATAACTTCAAAACACTCATAACCCCAACACACTCATAACTTCAACACACTCATAACCCCAACACACTCATAACTTCAATACACTCATAACCCCAACACACTCATAACTTCAATACACTCATAACCCCAACACACTCATAACTTCAACACACTCATAACCTCAACACACTCATAACTTCAACACACTCAACCCCAACACACTCATAACTTCAACACACTCATAACCTCAACACACTCATAACCCCAACACACTCATAACCTCAACACACTCATAACCCCAACACACTCATAACTTCAACACACTTCAACTTTCTGTCTGTCATGCTCGTAACTGTAAAACAGTCATATCTGCGACAGTCACTGCTTTCTCTCTCCTTAAAACAGCCTCGTCATAAACTGCCAGTCTGAGCGTTGAAATGAGGTAAAAGCCTAAAACGCCTGGTTTAGACCCAGAACTCCGCAGCAGCGCTGAACACACCTGTACAGGTGAATCAGCCGCAGGTACAATAAAGACTGACGGAAATGAACGGATAAAAACACTGCTGAGAGACTCAGAGCCGGACAGGCTGATCTGACTGACCCCGAACACAAACACTTAAATGTACAGCTAATAAAATCTCAGCGGTGCGCGCGCATCGGTACATACCATTCTGCAGCGGGATTATAATCTGCACTGAGGCGCGCGCTGCTGCACGGAGCAAGACCTGGATCTACAGAGCCGCGCGCTACAGTATGTATGTGTGTGTGTGTGTGCATGTTTGTGAGCAGGTATTCAGCCCCTCATGGGGACCCAGGATGCTGAAAACATTAACACTGACGTTGTGGGCACATTTGGCCGCTTTTAAAGTTTTACTGTTATAATAATAATAATAATATTATTATTATTATTATTATTATTATTATTATTATGACAGAGAGAAAGGCTTTTGTTTGGTGAAGTTACACTTAAACACTCATCTAGTCGAAGCTGGAGCTGAAGGTTCTTATTGGAATTTGGGAAGAAGCCAAAAGCTCCGTTCAGTTACAGAAGCGCGTGCAGAACCCCCACAAAGACAGCAATACAAACAGTCCTGTGTGTGCGCCCTAGCGTGTGTTCCTCCGCGCCGTTTCACACTCTTCCGTGCTGTAGCTCCGCCCACTCAGCACCTTTACAGGAGGCCTGTAAATACACCTGTATTAAATATCACTGAAACATTTCAGCTGCTTTGAAGTTAAAAATTAAGTAACCGGGTTAACTTGTGTTATTAAATTAACATAAACATAATTTATGTTTTACATTTACAAACTTAATGTTACAACCTCAATGAACTTTGATGGTTTTGTAATTTTTAAAGTTTAAAAGCTGCATTTTTTTTTTACAATGTATAAAACAGAACTGCAGGATCATCAAACAGTGGAGAAACAATAGATTATATAAGAGTTTACAGCACATTACACATCTTAAAGGGCAACGATATTAATTTATTTATGGAGCACATTTCATACATTAAAGAGCTTCAAAGGAAGGAAGGAAAGTAACAGCACAACAGAAAAAACAGAAAACATCCAGCTGAAAACCCATAGAAACCATTAAGTGTTTCTGTTGGTTCCTGATGGTTTTCTAATGTGTTTTGTCTTTTTTAATGGGTTGATATCACAGTATAAAGGATCCTAATGGTTTAACAGGTGACCAGTGGCTGATTCTAAATGCATCTGATGGTTTCCTACTGGGATCTAAAGGTGTTCTACAGGAATCTAGTGGTCTCTATTGGAAACCATTAAGCGAATTCCCATTGGAAAGCAAAACCATTAGATTTGAATCCTGATGCTTTTTAATGGTCCTTTTTCAGCAGGACAGAGAAGATAAAATCATTAAAAAAGGTAGAAAACATTATTATTATTATTATTATTATTATTTTCAAAGCTATTGATTATTATTGGACCGTCGGACCCTGTAATCACTCCTCTGTTAGACTGTTCATTAGGGAAGTTGATTTCATGCGATCTGTTTATGTTTATTGTTTATTAATGATGTTATTCTAACGCTCTGTTTCTCAGTGCGGCACTAGTCCTCGGCGGAAGGTTACTCTCCTGGACGTCCAGTGTGCCGAGGCTGCGAGTGTTCGGCAATAAACTGAGAAGCTGATTGGTCGTCGCGCAGCCGCAGCTCCGCCTCTGTTGTATCCCAGTCTCTGATTGGCCGCGCGAGGCCTGCAATGCGTCAACCAGCGGCGCGCGTTTTGATCTCAAATAAACCAAACACCATAAAACTAAACAAAAATAAAATGAACACTTTTAACTAAACAGAAAATAAACATCATAAACTAAACAAAAAGAAATGAACCAGCATAAATTAAACACCATAAAACTAAACATAAAGTAAATCAAACACCACTTAACTGAACATAAATTAAACACTATTGACTAAACATAAAATACATTAAACACAATTAACTACTCTATAAACTAAACTAAATAAATTAAACACCATTAAACGAAACAGACACATGAATTAAACACTATTAACTAAACATAAAATAGATCACCATCAACTAAACAGAAACATAAATGAAACACCACAAAAATTAAACATCAAATAAATGAAACACCATTAATTAAATAAAAAAATAAACACCATTAAACTAAACATAAAATAGACACTATAAACTAAACATAAAATAAATAAAACCACATAAACTAAATAAAAAATAAACACCATTAAACAAAACATCAAATAAATGAATCACCATTAATTAAATATAAAAAAACACCATTAAACTGAACATAAAATAAATAAAACAACATAAACTAAATAGAAAAATACATTAAACACAATTAACTACACTATAAACTAAAATAAATTAAACACCATAAACAGAGAAATAAAGCTGAAGAATAAACATCTGGTTAGTGTTTGGGACACCTCGGGCAAATAAATATAATAATAAAAATAAATATAATAATAATAATAATAATAATAATAATAATAATAATAATTATAATAATGATGATGCCGAAGCTCTTCTGTATAAATTTAAACGCTATTTTATGTCTTTATTTTGCCTCGATTCGCCGTGCCGTTCTCAGTGACGTCATCACTAAGCGCCAGTGTGTTTATGGCTGGTTTAGCTGTAGCTCGTAAACTCGTTAGTTTAGCCGCACTATGGCTTTGTTTCCAGCTTTCTCGGGAATCTCGGACTCGGACCGCGGCCGGAGGAAAGGTGGGCTTAACGGGTTCAGACCGAGAGACGCTGCGGGGGTTAAAGCCGCTCGTTTACACTAAAAGCTTTTAAAAACAGCTGCAGAGCTGCAGACCGGTCGGACTCGCATCACCCAGATTAGCTGCTCAAATAAACACTAAATTACAGTCACAGTAAATATCAGATTACAGCGGACATCTGATTACAGTTTACATCAGATTACACATCAGTGTCGGATAACCAGGGTTCAGAGGTTCAGCTCAGCTTCTGCGCGCTTTTACTGGGGTTTTAAGCTTTAATTAAAGCCGAGCTGAAGCTGTTCCTGTTGGAAATTGTGTAATAATCGTGTAATAAAAAGACTTTTATAGTTCACACCTTTTACACTCTGCCTGTAGAGTAACGATCCTACTGGGCACAGATAAACAGGTAAATAAACGGTAAATGCTAAGCAGATGAATAAACAGATCAATATTAAACAGATAAATGAACAGAAAGGGGTAAAAGCTGCGGACTGACGCTCCCCTTGCAGAAAATCTGTGTATATTTCAGATGTGAAGAGTGTAAAAAACACACCTGTTTATATGTTGTTTAGGTGTGTTTAATGTGAGTTTTCAGTTATTGCCTGTTTATGACAGGATATGTCAACTAAATAAATGCAGAATCAAACACTACAGGCTGTTATATGCTGTTGGATATATTGCGATTGATTGTATTGAGATTTTCACTATATTATTATTTTATTTCTAAATGTATCAGACTAGTTAGCTGATTTTAAGAACGTCCACATTGCAGGGAAAGTGTTGCTGCTTCCATCAGATCTCTGAGTGGTTTGTAGTGCAGCAGAGTGGAGGGAGCTTCTCTGCTTCATCTCTGGTAAAGTGGACTTTCTGCAGGGCTCTTTTCTCCTCCTGCTGCTCAGCTGACGTGTTTTTGGAGAGTTTGAGCTTGTAGTGGGGTTCCTCTGGGTTCCTCTACATTCCTCTGGGTTCATCTATGTTTCTCTACATTTCTTTAGGTTCATCTGGGTTCCTCAGCGCTCCTCTGGATGAGGAGTCCAGCGCTGTAGAGCTGAAGGTGAACTGATTGTTATTGACCGTGTTCCTCTCCTTTGTGTCCTGTCAGATCTGGAATGGCTGAGTAATCGGAGTTTCCGCTCTGATGTGGCTCTGAATCTCCACCAGCGCTCCGCCGACAGAGAGACGCTCAGCTCCAGCCCTGCAAGGTGATCTGATAACATAAACCCCTGCAGCTCCAGCAGGACTTTAGATTTTTTCACAGGTAGACTCAGCTCACCAGAACATGGGGTCACCAAACATCTCAGAATGTTTTTAATAAATAATCATGTTTTCTGTTTAGACTAAACCTGAAAGACTCTTTGATGAACATGAAGCTGAGTGTTGAGTGTTAAACTAGGGATAATATAGATGAGAAACTAAACCTTTACAGAGACTTTTAACTGCATTCAGTTTCAGAACAAGGCAGGGTTCCCCAGGCAGTGGACATCAGGACCTCACTGTATCTATAAATAAATAAATAAACAAACAAATGATTATTAATAATTATAATATTATTGCCATTCCCATTCTGTTTCTGCTTGTTTAAAGGGAAATTCAAATTTGATTTTTCATGAATCCCCCCATAATCCAGCGAGTGAGGTGTAATCAGAGTGGTTCAGAGTGGTTTGGTGTGAAATGGTTCAGATGTCTTTACAGTGGTGGTGATAGGAACCAGGGGTCGCAAATATAGAGTGAGTAAGTAAGTAAAGTTTATTTATATAGCGCTTTTTACAACAGGTGTTGTCACAAAGCAGCTTTACAAGGAAATCAGCATTACAGAAAGAAATCCGGGTCCGAGCCCCCATGAGCGTCGCCAGTGGCGACAGTGGCAAGGAAAAACTCCCTAAGAAACAGGAAGAAACCTTGAGAGGAACCAAGACTCAGAAGGGGAACCCATCCTCCTCTGGTCGACACCGGATAGTAAACAGTGTTAGTACAAAAACAGGGAAAACAGGTGGAGCAAATGATTAATTTGATTAGTTCATGCAGCAGCGGCAGCAGCATCGGTAGGGTCAGGTTGTGAGGGTGAGGTTTGCACAGCGTTGTACAGCATGGAGTTTGATGGTGGTCAAGCCGGTCCAGAAGGCTGGCGAGCAGTGGCACCCGATCAAGGCAGAAGAGGCAGCAGCATCAGACGCACAGGATGGGCAGCTGTTCAACTCGGCAAAGGAAAGAAAGAAAGGAAACACACAGAGAGTCAGTTCTGTAATGAGTGACTGATCACAGATTACAGTGCTAGCAGAGCAGCAGAGACTCTGGCCGGTATAGAACCGACAGGGAAAACTAATCACCAAAGTCTCGACTATACAAGTAAGTTTTTAGCCTAGGCTTAAACACTGAGGCTGAGTCTGAGTCCCGAACATTAACAGGAAGATTATTCCAAAGCCGGGGGGCTCTGTATGAGGAAGCTCTCCCCCCTGACGTAACTTTATTAATTCTAGGAACTAATAGTGAGCAGCACCTTGTGATCTAAGTAGGCGTGATGGTTCATAGTGGGAGAGAAGTTCACTCA